CACCTTTCTCCAACCGAATTTCGCTTTATCTCATATTAAAAAACAAATCCGATTTAGCGTTAGCGTCAGCGTTGTTACGGTATACTTCGTAGATTGGATACTATTGACACTCACGTTTCTTTTAAAATTCTTAGTTCTGATTTTTTGCATGTGAGTAGGGTCAATGGAGAACTAGTCACCCGCAGAAAATCAAAGCGCTTGGTTGAAAACCCACCGAGAAAAAGCGGTGGGTGCAACTCAGTGGGTAACGCGTTCTTCGGGGGAAAGCTGTATTCACAAGTGTTTGATAATGTTTCCCAGTCTTTAATACAGGTTAGGTTCTCTTTATTAGCGAGACTGTTTTCTAGATTTTGTATAACCAAAAGCCGCCATTTTGGATTTCAAAATGGCGTCGGACATCGTTTTCCGGTCTCTAGATGTCACCACCATTCTGAAAATATCCATATGTTTTGTATAGTTTGTTGAACAAGTTTGTTAGATGCTTTTCTGATACAAACCATTTTTCCCACTATGCCAGGTTTTTCGGTACCATGATGATAATATAAAATGATAGAGATGAATCAGGTCTCCAAAAATGTGATGGAGATACTATACGCCGTTTACCGTATGCGTGATAATGATTGCAAAATCGTACAAATAAGGTTCCCGTTTCACCTGTGCATACAATGCCTTGGTTTTCTTTGCATGCACGTAACCTATAGCTCAGACCGTAGTAGGCTATGTATAAAAGAAAATGATTTACTTAGTTTGACAGTTGCACCATGACGAAGTGGCAGCGTATTCGTAATTTGTCCCACGCGCAAATGTCGCAAAAAGATATTTCAATCGCCGTGGGAGTGTCCCGGTGGACCGTCAAAAAGGTTTTAAACCGAGAAATTCGCGAAGGTGGCCACAAGTCGTCCGAGGTCAGCTCGGGTTCCGAGGGTTATCGCTGCTATCAAAAGAAAGATTCGGATGAATCCTGTGCGTTCAATAAGGAAAATGGCAAAGGAACACGGGATCAGTGACTTTACGGCACAGAAGATCGTAAAGGAAGACTGCGGGGTGAAAACGAGGGCACGGAAAAAAAACTCACATGATTACAAACCGCATCCGGGAGCTACGAGTCGAACGATGCAAGAAAATCTTGAACTTCCTTAAGCGAAAAAATCCGCTAATCTTGTTTACCGACGAGAGCATGTTTACCGTCGATCCCGTATCAAATTCATAGCCGGCGCCGGTGGTGTAGTGGTAAGCGTGACTGCTTTCTAACACCCCAATGGGTCTGGGTTCAATCCCAGCCGAGGTCGGTGGGATTTTTCTGAGGCATAAAAATCTCTGGTCACGTCTTCCTTCGGAAAGGAAGTAAAGCCGTTGGTCCCGGCCCATGTGTGTTGAATGGGTGCGATATCCTACGCAGGTGTGGAAGCTGCTTTCCTGCACATTCGATTGCCGTCAATGGATGGCAATCGATGTCCGTCGGTGATTGGCACTAGATTGTGGAACAGAAACCGACGTGAAATAAAAGAAAGAAGAAGAAGTATTAAATTCCATAACCGACCGGTATATTAGTTCTCTTCCGGTAAAAGACGTGGCCGACGAGCACAAGAACGTGTATCTGACCAAACATCCTGCTAGCGTTATGGTGTTTGGATTGATGGCTTCCGATGGCAAAACATCTCAATATGGCGCGTCATGAAAGCCAAGGCCTGTTCTGAACGTAACCCGAGTACAGCAAGCCTCAGACAAACATTGACCCGTACCTGGAGAGAAATGGATCCAGACTACATTATTAGAACCTGCCGTGAATTCCGGAAGCGTGTGGAGGCCGTAATTGCAGCAAGTGGAAACTCGATCGATGATTAACATAGTTTAAGACTCTGAGAAACATCCCCCCTTTGAATAAATAAAAAACACGAAAACGAAATTTTTGAGATTTTTTTTTAATTTTGACATTGCTCAATGGTGCAAACATTATCACGCATACGGTAATTGATAATGATAATATCACAAACGTTCTCTCAAAAGATAGGGATGGATAATAACATCTCCATCATTGATATGTACTCTTGAAGAAGTCTGTTTTTGGGTACATGAAACCTGGGCAGAATTACACGACGATGTGATTCAGGAATCATGGAGGAAAATTTGTTCATAAAGACGGCATTCCGTTGGTGCAACAAATGGACTGGACACCGTGATCGCCCACAATGAGTAACGATATGCTTGTAAAGCTCATACAGATGACGACATTTTGAAACCTTTGCCGAAAGATCAGCATGTGATAAATAAAGAACAGTCAGAAGATCCGAAGCAAAATGAGTCTCATATCTCCGAATTCAGCGAACCAGCAAATCCAGGCGCAACCAGCAAGTTAAAATCAATAAGAATGTTCGATACATAATTGATTGAGCTGAAGCATCGACCGTTTCAATTTACGATGTTATTTATCGCCGTCGAATTCGAGAATTTGTGTTGACGAAGTATGTTGAACATTTAAAGTCAATCAAAACTTTTAAGTACAATGGAATGTTCTTTTTTATTATCGAAGAATAAATGTTGTTGAATACGAATAGGTTTCCATGGTTAAATTTACACAGCATTTCAAAACTACTGATTCCTAGTTGGGGAACAGGGAGTTAAATGTACAATTGATCTTTTAAATGAAGAAATTACATTGGTTGAAAGACCTGTGCGTGGAATCGATTGCTATTTGATTGAATAAACACTCAAAATCGTGAATTGTTCATTTTACCCCGTATGCCCATTTTACCCGCACTTCCCATAGCAGTCAAATTTCAACTAAGGGTAAGAATGAAAATTATTCAGAGCAAAAAGTTTGAGAATCCATGTTTAAAAACTTGAAAGTTTTAGTGAAATCTGCAGGCTGACAAAATCGGAAAAAAAGCTGAAAAAATCGGGAGCTGATGCTTGTCAACTTTTTTTCTGAAATAATCCTGAACTGTGGTAAAGCAAGCAAATAAAGTATTGTGTTTAACAGCTCAACGTTTGATTACTCAGCAATAGCACCTCTAGCTACAATTCCAATATTTAGAGGGGAATTCCTATTTACGCAAGGATTTTTATTGGTATTGCTTTTTACGGATCCCTTGATACTTGGGCTTCGGTAATATGGATACGATATGCGGTCAGCATCCTTATTATTGGAGCTCAAGCGTCATGGTATTCTGGAAAAAGAAATAGCTGCAAAATCTCTATCCATGAATAAGCATTCATGACTGCAGGTAGTACGTGTTCATGCAGATATGAATTCTCACGATAATTGTAGAACGCAGAATAAGACTTTTTCCTTGATATAGCTGTCGGAATGACCGTCATAACCTTATTTATGCTTGAAATGAGACGACAGTAAATTTATATGTCTGTTTATTTTTCCTCGGTGATATCTCGATAACTTTTTCAAAGGAGCGTATCAGCTTTTGTAAACAATGTATTTGATCGTCGATTAGGCGTAACTGGTAGCTCGCACACGCTTTTTTTTCCTCTGTTCAGAACCTAACACCACTGCGACCATTAATTTGATCTATTGTAGTATATCCCGTGTCCTTAGTTTAGTGCATGTCGTATTACTCCATCACTATTGAGAAATGATAAAGTATTCGATTTTTTTACAGTTGTCATTCTTGCATTTATCGCAAGGATCCGACTTTTTAATTGAAAGGTTCCGCTATTTATACCCTTCGGAATGTTGAAACACCATCCAAAGGCGCGTCCAAATTGGATTCCTTAGCATCAACATTAAGGAATGACACCGATAATCACCATGCATCCGTTCCCTAGTCTTAACCACTTCAAACTAGAGAACAACGAATAGAAGATCTATCACTATCAACAAGGCATAAAAAGTAACAAGGACTAAGATGTGTTCCTTTGATTACTGAAAAATCCTGTTCCCCTAGTTTGAAGAAGTCAGGACTAGGAATCGGTGGTAGATCTTACATCCCGTAACGTACCACGAAAAGGTGATCTACCCACGTTACGGGGCTCGCACACGCTTACTAAAACCACTAGCAGGTAGGGGAAAATTTCCCCTATCTGATGAGGAAATTTTACCCTATCTGCTAGTTACGCCAAACCTACGATCAAATGCATTGTTCACAAAAGCTGATACGTCCCTTTGAAAAAGTTATCGGGATATGATGATACCACATGACAAATGTTAGTGATATTGCGAATGAGTGAGAAAAGCAAAATAACGATACCTCACGGTGAGAAGTTTTACGGAGAGAGGGTTCTCAGTTGTTTTGATTGTTAACCGTAGGAATATCTTTTGTCAATCTAATGGCTGTCAGTACCGTCATACTGTCATTCAGCACTGCCAATATCTAATAGACCAATACTTGATGAACATTAATTTTTAAGAAGTGCCCTCAGGGAGAAAATAACATACTGTTGTATTTTCTACAACGCGCGAGTGCTCGTGTTACAAAAGTTGGCGTGAGTACTGAAAGGTTAAACTGCAAACAATGAAGTATCGGCTCCTGTAAAGCTATTGAGCCTTCCAAATAAACGATATCTCTGCTTGAATGTTATGCCTTGTTCAGACTACAGAGTTTTAACATGTTATAGTGCTATCTTGATGGTGGTTTCTGGGTTGCAATTAGTTGATAACCGTTATAACATGTTATAACCATAGATCCACTAATAGAACGTTCAGACTACAGAGTTATAACATGTTATAGCGCTATCTTGATTGCGGTTTCTGTGTTGCAATTATTTGACAACCGTTATAACATGTTATAACTCTCCAGTCTGAACAAGGTATAACCCCTCATTTTATCTGTCAAACTTTCATAGCTAATCAAAACAAACATATGAAATTTATACTAGAATGGGGTACGTTAGTCGATTTGCTTGGGACCAATAGGCTAGTCAAGTAGTGAGCCAATTTAAAATCGTTTGTTTCGTATTGATTGTTGTTATAACTCTCCAGTCTGGACAGCGTTTTAGGCACGCCCAAGGTCAGTGATATTTCTGCAATCATTAACTTTGATCAATGATCTGCTGTGGAGAATTAACTTGGTTGTATTTTCATAGTTTCAATTATTATCTCATTTTGTTAAACATTCCTTTTTCATTGTTCCTGTACGTTATTTTACATGTCACTGTAATTGATTCGATTTCGGAATACAGCTTGACCTAGGTATATTGGTAGCATTTTTGGTTTGCTTTTTTTTAATTTCTATTCGATAACTCATACATGGAATGTGGTGGCTGTTTATTTATGTGTTTGCCTCTAGTATAGTTCCTCACACTTGTTTCTTGATACAACATAGTAATTAGCAATACTTTAAAAACTACTCCGGTAGAGCACTGTTTCTGTTTTTGCGGTGGCATCAGCTTTGAATTGTATGTTTGTTGTTAGATTTATAAAATCAATATATTTTTGTACTGAAATGTTGTAAGTTTTTGAAAATATCATAAATTGCAAAACATAAGACATAATATCGGTTCTGTACAAGTTTTGAGCGTAATCATACCTAAGTACTGCGTTTATAAACATGATAGTAATTTTCGAGATTTTAGAGAACATAACAACAATAAAATTTGAAGCTACCAAACACTTATCAGACTAATAATGATGACGAACCTTTATTGGAGAACAGCAAGCTTCAGTAAAGCTGATTGATTATTTTTTTGCTTTATTTTTTGAGAGTACATAATCTTATCCGTCGATCAGTGAATACTGCCACTTTAGGTTGCTTTCAACAAGTTCGAACATAATCTCAAATGGGACCATCCATTGCTTGCGTATAGTTAGGATTGGAAACGATCTATAACTTTCTATAATAAATACTTAACATCCTTATAGTAACAATGAACAAGTGAATTTTCAGTACGCATGGGTCCGATATGATACGAGCTATAATAGAGGAATATTTATTCTTGCGGAATGATCACTATCGAAAGCCATAACCATTCGGTCGTCCATCCGGCTTAGATGTAGACACTCGTAAAGACGCAGCAATGGAATGCTAGCGGGACCTAATTTTGAAACTAAACGGAATACAAGTTGACTTCCTGATTGCTTACTACGAATAGCATGTATGGGTTACATTGACATCGCACCTTACCTTCAAGATTTAAGGACCACAGGGCAGGTGTCGATTGTTTTTTGTTGTAAATACTATATTCGTGAATGATAATAATACACATACATATACATACTTTATAGTGCTCATTTTGTGTTTATTTTCGAGTCCTCACTTGAATCAATAACATCGGTCGATTATTGTTGTTATTGTTGTTGTCGCTATTGTAGTAGTTATTATTATTGATGCTGTCCTCCCTAGTGGGGATGGTGGTGCTAGTTCTATTCAAACCATAGGAAACGGTAGTTGTCCTCGATTCTCGTTATACGTTGCCTGGGATGGTTAGTGAATGTTTAATGGTTAGAATCCTTCCGAAAATGTTATGATCAATGATTATCAAATAGATGTTCAACCTAGTTAAAATATATGTACCAAGCTAAAATCAACAAAATAACTCAAAAGCAGTTGAAATTAAAATATCAACTACAACATTCTCCGTCGTCCTTGGCTTTATTACGTCCTCACTACACCGGTTATCCAACTGTTTAAATTGGGCACTTCCACAGTTGTTAATTGAGAGCTTTCTAAGTCTGAAGTCGAGAAATTCTCCAAGCTGAAAAATTTCTAGACCGGACCGTCAAGCGATCCCAACCGCCTCCAGCATGGTCTAGCCACAGACAAACAGACATCACAGTCGCAAGTTGTTCATCGAACAAGCATTTAACGGTCAATTTAAAAGTATCATAGTTGGTAGTACCGCCACCTGTGGCGTGCATAGTCATTTCCCTTGAGTTTGACGTTTACACACTACCGCCATCTGTTCAGCGTACTACCCACCACAGTGTACTCAACAGATGGCGGTAATGTTTTAGCGACGATGTTTTACAGTGAGAAATATTCAATGTGTTATGTCTGTTTGTCTGTGGTCTAGCTTTATATCTGCCCCTTTACAGACTGAGCTAAGGGAGTCCCAAACATAGCACACAGACATGTGAAAGGCACTTAAAAAGGATGCAGATCGTCTTTCAAGCCACTTAAGGCTGTGTTACATTTAATTTAACAATGTAAGCCAATTTAACGTACCCATTATTCCAAATGTTTCTTCGAGAGCGTGGTTCAAAGGTCTGAATGTAAGTCGGGGATTCATTCGCGTGATGTCAAGACTTATGTCCAACCACTGATCGCAAGACGCACATCTCTACAGAATAAACCTCGTTGACAGCAATATATGTACACAGTTCGAAAAAGTAGTGTGAATTTCTCTTCAATATGATGCACATAAATGGAGCATCACATATCATATACGTTTACATTATATATCATGTAAAGTTCTGACACATTTCATGCAATGTAGCAAATATTGTATACAAAAGCCCATCTTTGTAAACAACATTGTTTACAAGTTGCTCGGTTGCGTGAGATGAAATACTAGTTTACGTGAATGAATGTTTACATCACAATTAAAATTCAGAATTTTTATCTGTGTAGGTGTAGAACCGGTTATGATGACATCGATCACGCAGTTTGGTATTGCCCGGTAATGACGCCTCCAGAGCACGACTGCTGGATACCCTAGTGGTCCGAGGTAGACAACCCTTCCGTGAAGTAAGAGATGTATTGGGAACTCGTGATCTTCCCTACATGCAGGCGATTTAAGAATTCCTTTGTTTGTCTGATGTTAGAGTTTGATGTGACCATCCCCTCCTTTCCAAACAACTTCCATCCATTGTGTCCCAGTCTTATTATCCTCCTGTTTGTTCGTCCGTAGGACATTCGGGCGAATGTCTTTCGGGTCAGTGGAAATCGGATGAATCTTATAGAATTACTTCACGCAGAAAAATAGATTTTTGTTTCAGGGCCTAATGTATTTTGTTATTGATTCAAACATATTGTATCACTATTTCAACAAAACATATTTTTGAATCAACAAAATGGTTTTTATAATCAACAAACAGAATATTGGCTCTACAACCAGTTGCTGATTCAAAACTATTTTTCTTTGAATTAACCGAATAATATATTTAAATCAATACCAAAAATATATTAGGCCCTGAGTCAAAAATATATGCATTTGAATTTAAAAATCATTTCTCTGCGTGTTTGCTATAATATATGTAATGCTTAGCTTCATTTTTCAATATAACACTAACAGTACACGACTGATGAGACTAACTCAGAGTGAGAGTCACTTCAACTCAGTACCTAGTATGAGAAATGTCTAAAAACGGAATTTATTGAGCGCTGAGTAGGTGACCCCGTGACCCCGCAGGTAGTATAGACCGCGTTTGCGTTTGCCGTTGCAAATTTCTTTTCTGTTCATTTCTTAGCAAACAAAAGATACGAATGGCATTAAATAAAGATTTATATAATAACTGTGAATCATAAATTTACATACATTTTCTACATATACAAAACACAAGAGTAAACGATAGTTTTACACCAAATAAGTGCTTTACATCGAAAATAAGCTATGTGCACGGTTAAAAAAAATTCCAGTCATTTTAACTTGATCGGCTCAAAGCAGAGAAAAGCTCTGCTCAAAAAAGACATAAAGCATGAACAGAAAAAAATGCATCTACAATCAGCATGCACATCGATCGATTCATTTATGACCTTCGTTAACTGCCAGCAGTGGCCGGTGTCCTCTTACCTGACGTCACAAATGGGCCAACGTAGTTACTGGGGAAGAGGCCCGTTGTTCCGTTCAGTTCACCACGCCACCATTCCGGTTCGTCCCGGCCCATCACGCTAATGATGTCGTCCTTCTCGAATGAAAGCTCGTCATCGTTCAAGGCTTTGTACGGGTACAGTGCTATTACTTTATCTATAATGATCATTACCATAGGAGGAATGAGATAAAAGGCGAATGAAATTGAACGCTTGATATTACCGAGAATGGTTTCGTTTAGTTCCACTTTGCTGGCCGACACCGGCGTGTTACGACCACTGTTACGCCCACCCTGCAGGATCTTCACGTATGTTGCCGGGAACCAACCGATTTGTCTTCGTCGTCCTTTGGCCTGTATGAGAAAAATTGACAACTGATATCAATTCCGTAGCAGCCAAATATTGTTATTACCTGTAGTTCACCCTCCCACCAGCCAGAGTCAGTCTTCTTCCTAATCATGATAAGCTGACCACGGGTCAGCGACAACTGTTCCGAACTAGTAGCCTCGTACGGAGCAATGACTTGTGCAACTTCGCCCTTTTTCCGTAAGCTCGGGGTGGCTGAGGACATCGATGAATAGCGAATGTTTTCTTCGTTTGCTGCTGGCGCTGGTGGTGGTTGAGTATTGATTTGGGATACCTCCGAGTCAGCCTCAGCTTGATTTCGAGCTTCCTCTGCATCCTGTGTCGATGTCGATTGCTTGCGAGTCGATTCGATTACCCGTTCTTCTACTTGCTGTTGATTACCGTTGATTATCTCCTAAAATAAATGGAATAGAATGGTTATATACTTCTCCGTACGCACTATTTGCACCACATAATTACTTGCTGTTCGGGTTCTACAACACTAGGCTCACTACTGGTCTCTAGGGCAGTACTTACAGATTCCTGCTTTTGTACATAATTCGAGGGGAAGATGCCAGTGCGATTGCCAATATTACCAGTCCACCAGTCGCCATCTTTTTTGGTGACAGCTACGATCTCGCCGGTGTCGAACACCAGGTCACCAATTTCAGCCGATTGATACGCGTAACAAGCAATATAATGTTCGACGTCTCCGTTATAAGTCGCTGCAAATTGTTCATCAACAACATTATTGTTACAAACAGTGTTACTTTCAAAACTATCATATCTTGTTGCTTCTATTGATGTACCTCTGAAATGACAAAAAAGAAAAGTTTAATAATGAGAAGGGATGACCACACCAGGAACATGAAAACTTACTCTACTTCATTGGCGGTTGTGGTGGTGATGGTGGAGGTGGGTTCTGAATAAGTGATAGCGGCTGGTTCCGTATAGGCGATTGCTTCTGGTACCGGTGCCACGACAGTGTTTAGATTGCTATCGACCTTTTCCACATACGATTCAGGGAACCAGCCAGTGTGTCCATGGATCTCTCCAGCTAGCCATCCCGGCTCGGCGTTCTGTTCCAGTGGAACCTATTGTAGGAAAGGAAATTTGGTTAAAATGAATTTTCGGAACATAGACTTCTAACGATAATCACCATCACAATATCACCCGGTTGGAATGTAATCTCGTCCGCGTTGCGCGCACTAAACTCATATATGGCACGATACCTGACATAGCCCTGTGGTGTTTTGACATCTTCGCTTGGGACCACCGTTTCTACCGCCGTCGTTTCTACCACCGCTGCCGGGGGTTCATCATTCACCGGCCACGCGTTAGATGTATCCCACGCGCTGGTGTAGGATTCGTTCTTGCGATTGTTCTTCATCTCCAAGATCTGGTTAAAAGGAGAAAGGGGAAACACGATTATGATACATTTTAGGAACCATCCAACGAATTTTGATTTCACCTGGATCCTCTGTATGTCATACTCCATGTATAACTTTTCACATGAATCAATCAAATCGGTCAGTTGAGATTTCAGTTCTGTCAGTTGGTTGCTATTGATATCAATGTCAGTGGACTTATTCTCAATTTGTTGCTTTGTATTTTCTAGCTTATCTTTCAGCTGCTGGATAATTATCTGCAAATAAAGTGTGTTCGAATATTATTGCCTCCATCTTTAAACGCAATTTTAAACCAATAATTAACCTGTTTGTTCGAGAATTGCAGCTGACTATCCGTTTCGCCAGATTTGTTCTTAGAATCCAGTTTGGCCTTTTCCTGACTAAGCTGAACCAGCCGTTGATTCTGATCCTTTACCTTAGCCTTCAGCTGAGCCATGTCGCTCATCTGGGTATCTCTGGTAGTGCGCATACCGTCGATGGTGCTCTTCACGTTGCTAACACCAACACGAGTATCGCAGATCTTCTGCGACAGTTCCTTGATCTTTTCGTTGAAAGTACTCAGTTCGACACTCAGCGACTGATTTTGGGACTTCAATTTCAGCACATTCTCCTGCTCACGTTGCCGTTGCTGTTGCATTTCTGATATCTTCTGAGCCTCCCACTCGAGCTGACGTTGCTTCTCCAATTCTCTGTAAAACAAAATATCGTTTTGTTAAAGTGTATCACATTCTTACGCATCAACAAACGATCATACTTTCTAGCCAACTCCTTTTTCTCCAGTTCCCGGTTACGTTGTTCCTCGCGCTCCTGTTCGAGCTCCCGCTGACGTTGTAGTTCCTTTTCCAGCTCCTGTTGCTTCTTGAGCTCGGCTTCCATTTTTGCCTTGCGAATTTTCTCCTGCTCGTCGCGTTCTTTGCGATCACGCTCTTCCTGATTGTCGTTACAACAAAATATTGATTAGAGCGATTCACGTGGAATTATGAATTTGAATCTTACTTGTTCCTTCTTCTGAATGTCCATCAAAGCTTTGCGCCTTCTATCCAACTCCGCCTGGCCTTTGTCATAGTTTTCTTTACGTTTGTCCTCAAAGGAAGCTACGGCGAAAAATAGACTTTCAATCACGCGGTTTGGTTGACCTCACTCCGAGAGAAGGGTCACAAAAAAGAGAGAGTATAAATTTGAACACTCAGATCTTAGTGTGGGGATAGGAATAGAAGGCCGAAATGTATGAACCTACCACAAAAGACCGTGTGTTTCAGAGGCGATGCTCGTCTTGCGCCGTATGGCCATTTTACCTCACTTTCCCCTACTTCTAGAACAAACTTTTCACAGAACGCATCTGAACACTTCACAACAGCCTTTTTGGGATAGGAACAGAAAGCCTAATCACAGAAGGCCGAATGAAAAAAAGTCGAAACAATGCGCGCGCGCTCAAACCGGTCCACAGTGGTCTAAACGTGCCAAAACGTGCGTTTTTATTTTATGCGAAAACGGTCCATTTAAGCCATATAGTGTCTTAGGAGAAGTGTGTGCACTTAAAAGCCCCTTCTTTTGAGCTTAGCCACTTCAGGATTATTCCACAGTGTATGATTAAGCAAAAAAAATGATTAATCCACCTAGCAGGGAGATGAAAAATTTACTTTTTTTTTTGTTTGTCGAGATAGCAAAATGGACAAACATTTTTGCTGAAGACGTCAACCCTCTATCTCTTATGTTTACAGATATATGTCATTTTTTTGGTAAGAGCCTTCAGAAAACCAATGTTTTACAAATAACTTTTCACGAAATATTTTTTTGAAATTAGTATGTTTTACAGAAATGTTTGTTTGTTTTTTAAATTACGCCATTTTGCCTTAGGATGCAAGTCCCTATCTTCAATATTTCTTAAGATATTCAAGGTTTTGAACTAAAATTAGCACTATTTCCAAGGTCAATAGCTCGAAGTTCGGCAACATTTTACATTTGAAAGTATACTTAAAATGCTACCCAATGCATATCAAATCATTAGTCTTCTTCAGTATTCTCTGCTTATCTGCTTGTTACCAAAATATAGTAAACCGTGTACTGATAATCGTTTTCTTGCATTTGTACATAGAGGCTCCTTCATACGTCACTTACTCTTGGTGTTGAAGGAAGAAAAATCGAATTAAGTTAAAACGAAATAGGCATGCAAAAAAAAAGAGAAGGGCGTTGCAAAGCCGCGTGTGGTAAAAGTTTTGATTCCAAATTCTAAATTGTAATGGCCGGTTGACTCGACAAGAAGGTGATTCGTAGTGTCTATTGTAGTGATTGGTTGACTTAATAAACCCCTGTTCTTGTTTCTGGTGGCAGGTGAGTTCCGGTGTCTATTGTAGTGTTAAAAAAATGACTGAACTACGTCTCTGTTCGCCCCGGCAGGTGATTCACAGTGTCGGTAGTAGTGAACGATTGATTGAACGAACAGTGGTCCTTGTTCTTCTCGGAATGTAATTCTCGGTGTTTGTTGAAGTAACCGGTTAACTGAACGAACATTGGTCCTTGAATCATCTGACCCGTTAATTTCAACAATAAGACCCCTTCCAAAACAAGCAAAACTGCTTTTGTCCGAAGATGCTAAGCACTCTTCTAGTTTCATCTACCGATGCATGAACCGATGGTGAAACAGAAGTAAGCGACGATTCTGAAAGTGACGAGGAAATGGGTAGCGATGAATAATTTTTTCTTTGATATTGTATGAAACGGTTCATCAAACGGTAACTATATTGAGATATAGGTAGTAATCGTTTGAGGTAGTAATGTTGTTTTTAATGTTCATTAAAAATAATAATAGTAATACATTTATACGGGAAGTCGTGACCCTATAGTTTGGTAATAAGCAGATCATCAGAGAATGCTAAAGAAGACTAATGATTTGGTATGCATTTGGCAGCATTTTAAGTATACTTTCAAAACTAATCAACCTGGTTTGCCCAATTTTGCCCAACTTCGAGCTATTGACCTTGGAAATAGTGCTAATTTTGGATCAAAACCTTGAATATCTTAAGAAATATTGAAGATAGGGATTTGCTTCCCAAGGCAAAATGGCGTATTAAAAAAAAAACATTTGTGTAGAAAATACTTATTTAAAAAAAATACTTCCTGAAAAGTTATTTGCAAAATATTGATTTTCTGAAGGCTCTTACCAAAAAAATGACATATCTCCAGTGGCGTCCCGTAACCTCACTTTTTACCTGTGCACCAACTTTCAAAACTAGATTTAATGCCATATTCATACTCGAATCGGTTGAAAAATAAACGTAATTTTCTAGTTTACTCGATATCTATCCATTGCATGCAATATTTTGATAATTGTTTATGTTTTGAGAGTTGGTGCACAGGTAGATTGAGGTTAAGAAAACGCCACTGCATATCTCTGTAAACATCAGAGATAGAGGGTTGACGTCTTCAGCAAAAATGTTTGTTTTAATATTGTCTAAAACTTTGCTCAAGACATAATTTAGCTATCTCGACAAACAAAAAAAGTAAATTTTTCATCTCCCTGCTAGGTGGATTAATCATGAAATGGCCAAGCTCAAAAGAAGGGGCTTTTTAAGTGCACAAACTTCTCCTAAGACACTATATGGCTTAAATCGAAGACACCAAATCAAGAAGCGTTTGTATGAGAAAATGGAAGAGTTGCCAGTCTTCTTGATTTGTTGTCTTCGCTTAAATTTGCCGTTTTCGCATAAACTAAAAAACGCACGTTTTGGCACTTTTAGACCAATAGTGCCGCTCTGCCGAATTTTCTCGGCCTTTTGTGATTCGACCTTTCGTAGTAATCCCGCCTTCTTCACTATGTATACTAATAGACATCTACGAGTTCGTTCAATCATCCAAGATGCCGGAAGAAGAACTCAATTGTTGTGTTAACATTATGATACAACCCTTAAAAAGGTCCGAACTCAGAAATTTCTACAGAGCCCTATAAACACCTTCTAATATCTTTTAACATTCCCTTAAATCTACTGTTTCCCGGAATACAGTGGGGGAAATTCGTTTAAACGCAATGTCATTTTTGCGTTTATTTTCAACACAAAAGATCGAGACAAAAAATCAAATATAGTTTGTCATAGCCCATCAGAAGTCTCGTATTTGAGAACACAATTTGAACGGAAGTTCATTGTGGTCTCTGAAAAAATCCAATAAAGGTGATTTTAGAGGGGAAATTCGTTTAAACGCACACTAACGTAAAGCCGCATTGAGCGTACCTATGCTCCTGTTATCTTGCGCATCTGTCATATTTACACTGTATAGCCCTCGTTCGCCATTAACACGAGTTTAAATTTGCGTTGCGCGGTAGTTGTTGCTTGTTTTCGGCAAAATGGGTAAAGGAAAGTATTTAAGCCAGTCGGAGCAAATACTGGTTCGAGAACTCAAAAGTCGCGGTGAGAGCAATCGCAAAATTGCACGTGTGATCCACAGATCGGAAGCAGCAATCAGGAACCTGCTGAAAAAAGGCAAGACGTATGGCGTAAAAAAGAAAACAAAGGGAAATTCGAAGATCACCAACCGTGTCCGAAACCAAATCATACAAATGGGAGACTCTGGAAACTTCTCTGCTGCGCAAATCAAGCAAGAAATGGGGCTTTCCATTTCTAAGAGGCGTGTACGGCAGATTCTACATGGAAGTGGCCACTTAAAGTACACCAAAAAAGCAAAAAAACCCAATCTTCAACCGGCCCACATTAGCGCCAGATTGAATTTCGCTAAAAAATACATGTCTTGGACTACGGAATGGGACAATGTTATTTTTTCTGACGAGAAGAAATTCAATTTGGACGGCCCAGACTGCACCGCATATTATTGGCACGATTTGAGGAAATCTCCGCAGGTTAAGTTGAGCAGGAACTTTGGAGGTGGTACTCTAATGTGTTGGGCCGCTTTTTCGATCCATGGAAAGACCCCTATTGCCACCATTTCAACCAGGATGAATTCGGGAAAGTACTTGGAGCTTCTGGAAGATGTTTTGATCCCGTTTACTGAAGACGTTATGCCGGAAAATTTCGTATTTCAACAGGATAATGCAGCAATTCATGTCAGCAAGCAATCTTTGAAATGGTTTTCTGAACGAGACATCAGTCTTTTGGATTGGCCAGCTCGTAGTCCGGATCTAAATCCTATCGAGAACTTGTGGGGCATCCTGGCACGACAGGTTTACAAAGGCGGAAGGCAGTTTAAAACAGTTCGTGAACTTGAGTCAGCCGTAAGAGAAGCCTGGAGCTTGATACCTGATACAACTCTGCAGAAGCTGGTGAAATCAATGCCGAACAGAATTTTCGAAACTATTCAGAAAAACGGAAAGCAAACGAAGTATTAACTATTGTTTATTGTTGATTTTTGAACTGTGAACTCGATTTGATTAATAAAACTAAAAGTGCGTTTAAACGAATTTCCCCCCCAAAATCACCTTTTTTGGGATTTTTTCAAAAGTCATTATGAACTTCCAATCAAATTGTGTTCTCAAATACGAGACTTCTGATGGGCTATGACAAACTATATTTGATTTTTTGTCTCGATCTTTTGTGTTGAAAATAAACGCAAAAATGACATTGCGTTTAAACGAATTTCCCCCACTGTACTTCAGTTCCACTGGAACTATTTTACACAACCCATAACATAGTCATACATTCCTTCCAGAAATCCTCCGAACCTTCCACCGTCAGAAAACCGTCGAGGTGCCATTAGTTTTTTTTATTTTCCGTACTTGTTAATCCCCCATTTGCTGCGCGGAGTGTGGTGCCATCTACCCACTGCCATATCTCAGCAATCTTTCGACCAATTGATAATCACATACAAAACATCAGCTCAATTGGTTGAAAGATTACTGGGAAATGGCAATGGGTAGACGCATAGGCGTAGCCAACAGTCGTCCCCCCTCTCTCCTAACTCAGCCTGAAAATATTTTTTTAGAGTTCATGTATCTAAGAAAAACTTTAAATTTTAAGTTGAACTAGCCTTTGTCATTTTTTTTATGTATAGCATCCACATTTGTTTGAGTTTCCGAATCAGATTGAAGTATCTTCATGATTCTTGGTTTTTGTTGAAGGACTGAGAATTATTATTCAGATTTTAAAATGACTGAAAATTCAGTTTCGGTTAAGCGATGATCGACCTAGTAATCCATACGGTATAATAACGTTCGGTATAATGGTGTTCAGCTAATCGGCGTCTAACCTAATTCTCCATAGAAACAATTGTTTGCCCTCCCCCCTAATTCGAAACCTGGCTACGCTCTTGGGCACCATCCATCGCACAAATCGGGGATTCTTGTATTATTTTATTACAGCAACATGGTGATACTCTAAGGAAGCCTTAGCGTGAAACTTTAAAGGCACAAATGTCAGCTTCCACAAAACATACAAATTTGAAATTGCTACTCCTTGTTTGCTGTGCTACTAAAAACAGAGAATAGCAATTTCAAATTTGTATGTTTTGTGGAAGCTGACATTTGTGCCTTTGAAGTTTCACGCTAAGGCTTCCTTAGAGTATCACCTTATAGCAAAAGCAAAAAAGCAAGTACGGGAACAAATCTATTGATCTGATAATGCAATCTACACTGTATAAAGTGTTTACATAGTTTCTATTGAGAACGCACATAATATTTTTCCAATAACAAAACAAAATTAATGTTTTCTATCTGAATATCTCATAATATGATAAATTATATGTGAGTAATCATATAGATTTCATGTAATGGTTCATGTGATTTTGTGGTGCAATTTCCAATTAGGAGATCCCATGAAAGTTATGTGAAATTCACAGGGATATATTTTTTATGAATGTATGACTCTCTCTTTTTTTTAACCATTTCAATACAGAGCTGGAAAAACAGCCTAACAGCTGTTGTAAACAATGACTTCTATCGATTGATTTGTTAAAAGTCTAGATTATATCAAACTTACACTGCGGCAATCCGGACAGGGGATCCAGAGCTTCCATGTTGGCAGCGTGGACCGGTGCGCCCCCTTGCGATGAAACCGAACCGTGCCGTGAGCTTACGACCGATCCATGGCGGGATGTTGTCTTTCGGAAGGAAGGTGGAATCAGCTCCGGTGGCAATGCGGTCGGAATCTTCTCACCCTGCAGTGCCAGATCGCAAAGGTACATGGCGAGAACGAACTCTTCGCAACCTAGCCGGCCGTCGGAATCCATATCGGCTAGAGCCCAAATCTGAGCCAACGCCGCTTGCGGAAGCTTCGATTGGACCAAAATATTTCGCGCTTGCGGACCTGTGAGATGGCCGCTCCGGTTACGATCAGTAGTGTTGAAGAGCTGGGTGTACTTAAGCTTGGCTTGCCCTTTGATGGCCCATTCGGATTGACTGTAATATCAGAACATAGATCAGCTGTCCATTCTAAATAAGTTTACCGGAATGAAAGTTGAATACTCACGGAGATTCGATGGATGGTGCACGTTCGGAAATCGACATTGATCGATGTGGAGTTCCACCACCTGATTGCGGTGGTGTAGGTGGAGCCGGAACGGCAGCCGGCATCACCCCCGCAGTATGCGGAATGCCTCCCATTGCTGATTGCATCGACATGACCGGTGGAAGACCGGCGACTAATGGAGGACTTGAGATTCCGCCGATAGGATCAATCAACGGTTTGACAATTCCTACACCAGCCGTTGGAGCAGGTGTCGGCTGATAGGATGACATACCTCCGAGGCCTGCGATAAGAGGCTGCTGTGGTTGGGGAGGCATCATTGGCGGAATAGATCCCGAGTACTGAGGTGGGACAGCTCCGGTTTGCGGGATCAACGGTTGCATCGGGATAAGTGGAGGTTGAGCTGCAGTAGCAATCAAGGGCTGCGGTGGAATGGATGGTCTGGCTGGTGGACCAGTGGAAATCAACGGTTGCTGGACCATACCAGACATCTGATTGCTCATCATAGGGGGGACGATAGCATGCGGAACTGCATGAGGTGCCATGATCGGCTGTGGTGGGATTGCTGGTGGCATATTGGTGATTGAGTTCCCGAGTGATTTCAACGGGTCCAGCGGGCTAAGACCAGACGTCGGTGTCAGAATGGGAGTGCCTCCTACAGCAGTAAGGGAAGCTACCAGCGTCGGTGGAAGTGTCTTGGGAACTTCAAAACCGCGGAGCTTCAGATTGATCAGTTTGCAAGCAATGCTGAACTCTCCCAGAGTCATCTTGCCGTCAGAGTCCGTATCAGCCAGGGCCCTGTGAAATAGTTTAACGAGAGAAAATTATGAAGTTGAATTGTGGAAAGTACTATTGCAACTGTACAGTTAAAACAAAGATGAATAGAAAGTCTTAAATAATGTAGAACAGTTTACTTGTAGCCCATTTAGGGGAAATGGATGTAATATCGGCCTAAATACCCCTAATATGGGCCCATACATAAATTCACCAATCGACTAAATTTTCAATAGCAACCAAAAATATCCATTAGTATCGTCCCAATGACGCGTTCACCTAGATAAAATTCATAAATCAAGAGCCACATGTGAAAAAAAAAGCTTTTTGTAAACAAACCTTGGTAGGCCCTCTTCTCGCCAACCGAGGGTCGCCCACGCAAACTAACAACTTCATCGAGAAGGGGAAACCTTCCCCTATCCGGCGATGTTGATGGTTTGTGTTGATGTCATATGGGTGGCGAGAAAAGGTCATAAGAATGTTTGTTGTAGCGATGGACCCAATCTTAGATCCATAGGCCAACATTAGAGCCATTTCCGCTACATCATACGTACCTACAAATCGAATATAAAAACTAACTTTTGACTCATATGAAAAAGGATTAAAAAATGTTCGTTTTGTACCCGACATACAATCGAAGGTTAAAAAAATTACAAATTTTAGTATGAAAAGACTAAACAGAAAAATTGTTTTCTGTTGAATATATTAAATTTAAAAACCTATTAATGATTTTATTTTGTCCTATGAATGACTGATTTTTTTACCAAAGCAGTTGCCGAGGGGGGCGACACATCTAAATCTCAATTCTAGAAACCTAAAAAATCTCATGCTAACGAATCAATCTTCGAAAAATCTTCTTTAATTTCTCGCATCTATTTGCATCGCGCATCATCTTTATGCAGGAAATCTTCAAAATCGTTATCAATCTTCTTCATATCTACTCAGCGTGCGGGCAGCTAACCACAGCAAAACACTATTTATCCTGCATCGTAGATAGTGTCGCCCCCCTCGGCAGTTGCTTTAAAACGTGATTTATATGATACAGTTATGCAGTAATAACCCGATTTTGTCAGCCCCCTTTTTGAAAATCATTTCTAATTTCCTACGAAATCCGTGCGCTTTTTCAGTGGTCTTTTTGCACCAACGTATACCTTAAACCAGTGGCGTCGCGTCCACATGTGCAACCTGTGCACGACACAGGTGTAAATAATTTAAAAAAATGCGTTTAGATTTTTATAGATTTTATGGCCACATTATAGCTGTACTTCTTTACTCCAGACCACAAGTGACCATGAATAAACTATTTTATAGTGTGGCTCAATTGAATCTTCGACCTTGGTTTGCTTCAAAAAGGATTAAATTCAGTTCGGATGGTCTGCCTAATCCCTAATGCATTGATTTCTAAGCATGTCGATATCAATACCATGACAAAACTCGTTAAATAGTGTACCTAAAGCGAGCTTTTTTGGGTGGCGGGTGGCAAGTTTGTGAATGGTCAAATGCCTGATGTAAGCCAAGCAGACCTTCTATCACCTCTTGAAACATACCACCAATTTTCCACAATACATGGCAGTTTGAACCACTAGTTGTAATTGAAACTTTCAGCAGTCACGCGTCAAACGGGAGCAACACGGAAACAGCAGTCTGGTACGCTTTGGACGTGTATCATACTTGCAGACCGGTATGAATGTGTGAGTTTAAATTAGAAGAACATTTGTGATGTATGGGTGCCTAAAGTGTGCATTTCTTGCTGTGCACTTGGATATCTGATTGCAGGCAAAGAGAGTAATGGAGAAAGAGAGCGCAAAAGCTCGCTCTCACCCTCTTGTAAGTTGTAAATCTCTCAATCAAATCTCTCTGATGGTTGCGCCGGTGCGCCTGTACAAACTTATGAGCTTCCCTGGTCCATTCTGATAGTGTTGTTCTGATGAATAAAGAGTTGGTTAATTCAAGTTTGCTACCCAGGGGACTTCATGAATTTTCTCTAGGTTATGAAACTGTTTTGTATCAAAAAATGTTTTCGGAAGTGTTTGACGGATATTCTTCATTACGCTTCAGTCGAAAGAGAACTCTTCGATTTCCTTGCGATAAAAACGAGAATTAGTTAACTTTTGCAATTCCTCCTACTTCGGTTAACGCAAAAAGGGCCATACAAGTTTTGTTTACACAAGATCAGCGTTGGAAAAGATCGCGATATTTCACGAAGTTCACCAAGGGAAAAGTTCGCGAGTCATAGTGAGTTTTGGTGTACTTTTCCAACACTGCACAAGATGATAGGCCCTTCAAATGTTACGTTAGGTAGTGATTAATATAGTAATAGAAAATATGTCCTTCGAATTCACGGAGCATTGATAAAAAATACCTCAAAAACTAATATGTGGTGGAAAACTATAACGAACAAAGTTTGGTGCACAGGTAAACAAATGAGGCACGCGACGCCTCTGCCTTAAACATCTATCTTGAAGATGAATGAGAAAGTTTTGGAATTACGGTCATGCAAAATTATTCAAAGATACTGCGCTGAGGCGCTGACAAAGTCCAGTCGTTACTGTATTTTTAATAGGAATAATGCAAAATCGGAGAATTTAAGTAGAAATTGTTTGAAATATGAGGGGTGTTCATGTTGCCCCAAATGGACTCAAGAAATGTTAACCGAAAATTAGAAAAATATCGTCTCATGTAAGAAACCAATGACCATTTATGTAGCAGCCGAAGGAATATTAACGATTAGTTATTAGAAACTACTGATAAACCCATGGGTAAGTCACTCAGAACAGTGTGCCGAAATTAGATTCGGTACACCTTCGGCACAATCTCGAAGGCATTGGATTGTTCACTAAACAAAATGGGAGCACTGCTGGACAACTGTTATTGAAGTTGTTTGCGGACTCGAGAGTAAGAGGCAGTTAATCAGACCCCAATAGTATCCGTAATTTAAATAATGCTGCATCGCACACAACACAAACAGAAGTCATACTCATCATCCTCTGTAAGGGAGAACAACCCATAATGCACCCCTGGGGTAAAATGCCCACTTTTAGAAAAACAGCGATAACTTTTCCTCAGATGCATTTTCCGGGTAACGGTTTGTGATTGTTTTCAACTGGAGGTTTCACAAATAATTCTTGATCATAAAATCATGTATTGACCTGCTGATTCCTTAAAAAAATTACATTTTGTGCAAAACAGGACACAGTTGTTAAAATCATCGACTGTAAATTAAGCTTTTAACATCATATAGCACAAAAAAAAATAACAAATTTACGTTTCGTATATTTTTTAGATATTTTACTTGATGAATCACAGTTTAACATTCTATTGAGATTTTGAGACCTTATTTCTGATGTAACATAAAGAAATAATCATTTGAAATACCGCATCCCTTTGCATTATCTACTTGCAGGGGTTATGGTTTGTTTACCATGGGGTGCATTTTACCCCAATGTTGTGGTGCGTTTTGGCCATTGTTGTCGTGCGTCTTGTCCCAATGTTGTGGTGCATATTGCATCATGAATCAGGCGTTTTGCCCCGCTATCATTTTGGAAGCAATTTAGAAAATACCTTGAAAGTCATGGAAAATCATCCTTTTGTAGTTCTAAATCACTCGATCTTTGTAGAAAACATGGTAATGAACCAAACGCCATTACTTTCTTCTTGATTTTAGCTTCCATTCGCCAGCCATTGACGATTTTGCTTAAAGGGTGCGTTTCGCACCATCCTACCCTATTCGGTCACCAACATTGTTCACCACCGGCACGAAAGGCTGGGTATCTGGTCTACCTTTGAAGGCATTACAAAACCCTAACAAACACGAATTTTATTATCCTATGAACACAAGAAAAAAATCGCTATCTTCCACTTCCCGCGCCTTCCTCAATGGGCTGGCGAACGAATATTACGAATTGGCGCATCATCTACAACCGATGTAGAATCAGGTCCCCCCTTTGGTTCAGTGAGGGTTAGGACACGTTCTGCCATGTTGGTCGAGGCACATATCATGTGTCAGTAAGTGATGAACATTGTTATGTGCAATTCACTTTAAAAAGTGCGTTTCATATTTCATCACATGTAGTTCCAAAGATCCTGAACGAAATGTGGCGCTTGCGAAGATCACTTGAAGATACTATATGACGGAACATTGATACAAACTGTATAAAACACAAGAAAATTCTTCAATAAATTAGTTAGGATAACATAGTGAAAAATGTGTTAATTGTTAGCGAACAAATGTAATGTTGCATCAAAATACTTCAAATCATGTTAAATTTAAATGTTCCCTCATTTCACATCCGTTGAAACATTCTGAACGGCCATCCCGTTGTGGTTATATCACATCATTGCTGATAATGTATATATCTATATCTTTTCCGGTACCATGGAGTCAACAAAGTAAAAGTGAAAGAAGAGCTGCAAAATGGAGCACATTCGATACGTCAATGGAGTGATTCTTGTTAAGAAAATCAATTTTCCATTTTCCGCATTGGTGTTACGGTTTTATAAGACGCAACAAGAAACTCAAGATCATCATACAAAGATAATGGACGTCGAAATATCGCAGAACACATCAGAAATAAGATGGGAGTCTTTCGGGAGACTAGTAGCGACTAGCAGTGATCTCGTAGAAAAAGGGCTGACTCTTCTCCACACTCATTGGGGTATCCTTTTGTCGGACGGCTCGTTGTTTGATCAATTGTATGATCATGTGGCTGGAAGGAGATTCTCTATCATCCCGTGCAAGCGTATAAGTGAATTACCTATCGATCCACCATAACCGTTTTGGCCCTTCATACAGTGACATGTTGAGGACAATCAGAGGTTACGTAGAGCTCGATCAAATCAAACAGTGAGGAGTGCCCACTGCTATCGGACTTACGTCTCCGTGCTAAAATGAGTGGTAGACAATTATCATACATACATACATCATACATCTACAACCGATGTAGAATCAGGTCCGATTAGTTCCCATGATGTAGAAACCACATCCACATTTATGGGGCGATCAGCATCATCCATTGGTGATGTGC